CTCTAGGATAAAAAGGGAAAAAGTATATGAATATAATCATGAAAAAAACTTATGAACAACATTTGCAGAAATTGTATCAAAACTTTAAACCTGCTTAGGGAGCCTATTGAAAGTGCAAGAAAAAAAGAGGCAAAACATGTAATTGAGAGTGCCATATAATGAATGCCTACGGATTGTAAGTTTATGTAAAAATATTACAGCTGCTATGACTGCAGACAATAAAAAGTAGAGAAATGGAATCATATGAATATCTTTTCTCTAAAATGCGAAAAGGGCAAAGACCAGCCTACAGAGATTATTGAAACAAAATTAAAATTAACAACTCAAATGTCCATTAAACTTTCTAGAGGCAGGACTAAATTTATTTTACTTACATCTGTAACATGACTGAAAAAAAAAAAAAAAAAAGAACCTGCAGAATTGTATAAAAAAATAAAAAAAATGGTAGTTTTTCTCCACACAACCTAAAGTAATATTTAGTTATTTACTCTCCCATCGTAGATAAAGAGTTATCTACTTCAGTATATTGAAAATTATGCCAAAACCTCCTAGAAGAATAATAAGCCATGTAATTAAATGTAAAAGTAATATACTAAATGATAGGTATTAAGCAGTCTATTAAGAACTCAAATCACAAAAAAGACACTAATGTAATAACCACCACATAATCTCTTAATTGCTAAAAATGGTACTTCCAACTCTTGACATATCTCTTGATTATTTGTTTCAATCTTCATTTTTCCTGGACCAGCCATCACATATACCTGATAAGAACCAAGCAGCAAAGTAAGAACTACAATGCAACCCACTAACTATACATAGAAAACAATATTTCTTCATGCTTATTTCTTGATTTTTTTTCATAGAAAAGAAAACTATGTGCATTATCTATGTAAATGTTGTCATCTTAACTGCATTTAATGGAGTATGAATTGAAAACCCTGACTCTGCTACTAACTGGAAAGTCATATATACCGAATAATAAACAACAAGAAAAATTGAAGGATATGAATATTGAAATGCCATTAATTATGAATAATGTTATAAGAGTAGATTATATTACATGATTATTCTATCCACATCTGTGAATCATGCCTGTTCAATTTTTGGGAAATTCTAATGCCCCATTTCAGTTCCAACCATCAGCACTCCAATCGATCACAAGATATATTGAGTTATGGGATAAGATTCCGTACTTATACAAAAGTGGTCTTCCAGTGGGAACTGACTAGTAATATATTGATTTAGAATTAAGTGCAATAATTAAATCAGCTTAAGAGTGAATTAATAAATTTAGCCCAACCCTAATATTGAACCACAATGCAGCCCACTAACTATACATACATACAACATACAAAATAGGTTACTCTGGCAACTAAACTCCTATAGTCATTTCTTTGATTCCAAAATTTGTACCATTGCAACCAATTCAATATAATCTTGTTCAATTTTTATTATGCCAACCTCTGCAATCTCTATATGTCCTTAAGAATGCTCAATTCAGAGCTTTACAACCTTCATCTCCGTGTGACTCTTTAATAATAAGTTAATATCCAGCTAGCTAAGAAAATGTCACTCTAAATGAATGAAACAAAAGAAACAGCAGCTAAAATCTTTATGCACCATCTCCATAATTTAAAACTTCAACTAGAAGGAAAAAAAAAATTATAAAAATCCGTGCCAAATATATGTTTATTTTTACTTTCCAAAATTAAGCAAACTGATTAAAGCATTAAGATGCATTTTCCATGGAGATTTCTCTTCATTTTTTCATCAATCAAACAGAACCAAATAAAATTGAAAAAAAAAAAAAAAAAAACCCAAACCTAAAACCGCAAGCAAGCTCAAAGTAGACAGAAAAGATTAAAACAAAGCTCACATGAAAAAGATCAAGGTGGTCTTCAAGATTCTCGAAAGCGATCCTGATCTCCTAAATTGTAGAGTCATTGTTGTCGATCCTGAAGTCCTTAATGAACACAAAACTGGCGCGATTTTCTACATTTACGGCAACGGCAACCCAATGTTGTGCTCCTATAATGAAAAATCGAAAATGTAGACTGTAAAAAAGGAAGAAAAATATGATGAATGGAAGAATTTCAATTTTCAAATGAGATAATTAGGATTGGGGAGGGGGGGGAATATGCACACCTCGGTGGTGTTGAAATCGGAGAAGGAAAAGGAGGAGATGTTGGAGGATGAGGGTGGCCGGAGGAAATCATAGACTGGATCTTCATATTGATGGTGGAGGAGGATTGCACGTTGAAACCAACCAAAGAGGCGAAGAGTGCGAGAAGTGCATGAACGAAGCACCAACGTTGGGTTGGCTGAAATCACGGAGTTTGTGGCAGTTAGCAACTTCTTGAAAGCTTAAAGGCAAGATGAGGGGAAGTAATGGGCCAGTTAGGATAGATGGGCCTTTATTAAGTAGTTTGTAGATAGGGCTGAATTTTAGCCCATTTTAGTTGGGCCTTAAATATGCTAAGTTTGTAGATTTTTCTTGGGAATTTAGTGATTTTAACTTTTAAATTGTGCAAGGAAAGGACATAGAAAAATCTAGCAATTGGGAAGACCTAGGATCCTTCATCTGTAATTTTGTATTCAGTGGTTGACTTGACTTTAAAACTGATACCGTGTTGAAAAATCAAGCAAATTGGGAAGTTATGCCAAAATTTCAAAAATGAAAAATTGATTACATTTTGCAGCCATAGCCTGCAATTGAACTTTGATAAAGTTTTTTAAAAAAAAAAAAAGAAAAAAGAAAAAGGTTTTTTTTTTTAAATTTATTTTTTTATTATAAATGTACATAAAAAATATAAAAGTTAATATTAATTTTAGTATTAGTATCAAATAAGTAAATTTAATTAAATAATTAATAAATTAATAATTAATTTTTATTTTTTCAGTATAAATTTATGATAAAAAATATATTTAATATACTCTTAATTTATTCTCTAAGAATACATGTTAGATAAACTAAAAAAAAAAAGAAGTAACTTTGATAAAACTACTTTGATAATTACTATTAGCTTTTTAATACCATATTAACATACAATAACTTTAAATAACCCATTAGTCTTAAAGCCGTGATACATAAACAATTTTTTTATATAATTTTTATATATGATTAAATAAATAAATATATTTAATATTATAAATCTTAAATAAATAAAAAAATAATTATTTAAATAATATATAAAATTATCTCAAAAAATAATATAAAAAAATTATCTATAAATCATTTTTCATGCTATCGTTTTAAAAAGGCCCACATTTCATAGGTTGCTTTGATTATTACTGCTAGCTTTTTAATGCCATATATATTACAATACATCGAATAACACGTCAGGACTATTTTGAACAGGCCCACATTTCATAGGCTTATTTTGTGGTCAAAGAGGGTGAGCATTCTGTTTTGATTTATGTGAGTTTGCTATTTTCTTTTATCCCATTCTTAATTTTTATTTTTCATATATCAAATGGATTTTGCTTCAATATAGACCTCCAAAGCATCCTATAAGCATTCTATAATAATAATATTAATAATAACTTAAATTAAGAAGAAAATTATTTTCAAAACTGTATAATTTTAATAAAGTACAATAAGAAATGATAAAAAAACACTATAATTCATACTTTAAAAATAAAGTATTTTAATTTTTTTAATAAAAATTTATTAAAACAACTTAACTTTTAAATAATTTTTCTCATAATCTTTCTGAGGTAAGTTAGATAATCATTATTTTTTTAAGTTAAATACCTTTTTTTAATTCCTACTGTTTAAAATTTGATCCCTTTTTAGTCCCTTCGTCACTTAAGTGACAACATAACACAATAATTCTTTAAATATTTTGTCTTTTTCCTTCTCAACGTTGATGTGTAATTACACGTTAATCAAAAAAATCCAAAAAAAGACATGAAAATGCCATGTGGGAAAAAAATTGATGATGTGTATCAAAAAATTATTTTTTTCTCCACAAAAATACTCAAAAATACAATATTGATAAAAGTGATAAGGTGAATAGGAAAAAATATTAAATTATTATAATAATTTTACTAAAATCATTTAATATGTAGTATTTATTTTTTTATTGTTTAAACATAAATAAAATAAAATATTATATTATTTTAATAATTTTAGTAGATTTATTTAATATGTAATATTTAATTATTTATTTTTTAATCAAATTTAATAGTTTTAATTTAATTTTTTTTACTTTTCAAACATAAATTAGATAAAAATTTAACAATTTTCAACACAAAATTTTGCTCTTTCCATCCTCTACAAAATTAATTTTCACAGCAATTCTATTCTCTTCATTCCTCGACACATTTCAATTTTAGATGAAATTTCTTCCCATAATCTTGAGCAATATCGCCTGCCCTCTACCAATTTCGATGATACTTAACCATGAAATCCAAAATCAACACATAGAAAATCTTAAATTCAGTACCCGAGCCAAGAATGGTGAAGCAAAAAAGATGAAGCCAAGTGACGAACCCAAGAGTTGGGTTTGCGATGAACCCAAGCACCTGGGTTTACGAGGTTCTAGGTTCGTCGCGAACCCAACCAAAAGGCAAAGGTAAAAAAAAAAAAATTGAAGTTCGGGGAAAGAAAATGGGGGCTAATTAGTGAAGATTTGAGCTTTAATTGAGATGAAGATTGATGTGAAGATTTGAGGGCTTTGATGGAGGAAGGTTTGGCAAAGAAGAAATCAATGGATGAGAGGGGGATTAGGTTCAAGCAAAGGTAGAGAGGATCGGGGATTTGGGCAAAAAGATGATTTTTTCTTTTAATTATTTTAGAACTTATTGATTACATAGAAAATAAATTTGATTGCTTACTCATCAATTTTGCAACGTGTAATCACATGTCACTATTAAAAGGAAAAAAACAAAACAAAACATTTAATGGATTATTGTGTCATGCTGTCACTTAACTGACGGAGGGACTAAAAAAGGATCGGATTTTAAACAGTAAGGATAAAAAAGGAGATTTTTTCAGTACAACAACCAAAAAAAGGCTTTTTTCAATAGTAGAAGAACCAAAAAGGATATTTAACTTTTTTTTTTAATATATCAAATAGATTTGCATCATTACAAAACTCTAAATCCACATTGCATTTGGTAAGCATTTAAATTATTATAATAATAATAATCTAGCTCAATTGGTAGAGCGCTCTTAACCTTGTGGTCATGGGTTTGAGATTCGATACGACTTAATTTAAAATTAATCGAAACTTAATATGATTATCGGATGCTAAGAAGTTAATATCAAAAATAATAATAATAATAATAATAATGAGTTTTTTTAGTATTCCTATAATAAAACAATAATAATATTAATGGGTTTTTTAGTATACAAATTAAAAGTGTAATTAATATACCTTTTTATTATTAATTAGTATTAAAAATAATAAAAACTAATATTAATTCATCATCAATTTTAAATAAGTCATTAATTAAATAACAATTAATTATTATTTTTTTAAGAATAATTAATATAAAAAACGATTAATTTATACTTTCAAGTCAGGCATTAAAAAAACCCTAATAACACTCTGCCAATTACGTATCGAACAAAAACAAATCCACCAATCCTAAACTCCTCAGGCTTCTTAACTTTTTGTGTTGAATTAACGTGCCAAGCAATATCTGCCCCCCAAATCAATTCACAGGACCCGTTCCAAATTTCCGAACACCAATACCCAAAAACTCCCAAGAAACCATCATCATCAAAATGCTTCCCGTTATCAGAAGCAGACCTGCCCCCATATTATTTGAAGGTTAAAGAGAAAATTCAAGCAATATGGGTGGGGTAAGTGATGTATCCATCTGTACCCAAAATTCCAAAGTTGATTGTTATAGTCACTGCTCTGCAAGTTACCAAGAAAGTGAAGGTCTAGGTGCATGGTAATTAAGCATCATCTCAAAGGAAACCATCAAGAAAAGTCGTTACCTGGGGCCAGGTACAACTGTCTCAATTTAATTGATGATGCCTTTCAGCATTCGAAAAAATAAAAATAAATATAAATAATAGTCCAAAGTCTGGTGATCAAATGATGGAAGGAGGAGGCCAACCACATGGGATTGGCCCTTTACTCCGTGGATTGGCACCTAGGATGTGGAGTTCGAACCCACCGCACACTTGTAATCTCTCCCTCCATAATTACGTAGTTCAAAAAAAAAAAAAAATTTGTGGAGGTGGAGTGTGTGGTTATTTTAAGGCCAAGAAGTTTTTGTAATTCTTCTCAAAATCACTAGACTCCTGTTTAAAAACCTGAAAGTTGTCGACACCTTTTGCCCCTCTTCATGCCTAGACCAGGCCTCATCTCTGTCGTTCTTCTTCTTCTTCTCGCCGTAATTCATGAGACTTGTGGTGCCAAAGATAAACGTTATTGTCCACCTTCTTCTTGTGGAAATAATTTGAGTATTAGCTACCCTTTCAGATTAAACACAGATCCGCTCTACTGTGGAGAGGCTGCATATCCATTATATTCTCTATCCTGTGAGAACAACCTTACAGTATTGCACTCTGATCAATCAGGAAAATTCTACGTGAAAGCAATCAATTATGACAATCAAACAATTCGAGTAGCTGATGCTAGTGTTGAGGAAGGGAGCTGCCCCATACCTCAATATTCCTGGGACGCCTCCAACTTCTCAACGCCTTTCCGATATTATAATTATTATTATTATAATAATTCGGAGAGCATTCTTTTCATAAGTTGTGAAGATCTTGTAAATGCTCCGCGTTATGTGGAAGCTCCTGCCTGTATTAACGGCAGCTCTTTCTTCACACCTTATAGGCCTGAATCTGTAGGCAAAAGGTATTTTTATGTGAAAATTGGAAGCACAACTCCACCTGAGTTAAAACCTTCATGCCGTATTGAGCTAATGGCACTTGTACCACCAATACTGGAGAAGAATTACGAGAACCTCTCCTACCTGGACATCCACCATGGGTTAGCATATGGAATTGAGTTGTCGTGGAGGGACGCTATGTGTGGAGAGAGTCATTTTTTCCACATTAATGAGGAAAACCAGTGTCATTCTTATCCTGGTGCTGCATATCTGGGTACTTTAGAAACAAATTCTTTTGATTTGAGTTCCAATTGTGCATATGCCTTCACATTTCTTGGTCGTATCTATCTTTAGTTGCAAAAGGTTTTGGCTAATTTTGTTTACTTCATGCAGGCAACCGAGTTTACAAAGTTTTCAGTATAGCTGTATCTCTGCTCACTCTTTTTTTACCTGGTAAGTACCTCTACTCCACATGAAGTAAGAATAAAATCTCAAGTAGTACAAGGAAACTAGAGTTTACTCTTATCTTTTCTTTTTTTGTCTCTTTAAAAGTGAGTTTGACTTTGTGATAATTTTATAAATATTTTGATCTTTAAAGGTATTTTGATAGATAAAAGTTTTAAATTGACTAATAACAATTTGTGTAATTTTTGTTAAACTTTTATTTATTTTGTAATTACATTTTTCTTAATTTATATCTTTTTCTATTTGAATGGATAATTTTTTTATCTTTATTCTATTTAAGGTTATTTTTGTAGTAGTTAATTTTTTTACTTTATATATTTGTATGAAGATTTTTTAATTTAATTTTAGAATTAATTATGTTTTAAAAATAAATTAAGTTTGATAAAATAATTTTACTTTTACATATTT